CGTACATTATAAGAAAGCAAATAAAACACCGTGTGAGTTACAACTTAACAAGAAATCTATCTTTAGAATTTCTCAAAGACAGTGACAAGGGTTGGAAATTGGATTAGTGGGGAGTCATAGTTAGTGAGCACTTATACTATGCTACCACTTGGTAGAATTTTGTGAATTTAAAAATTTATGAACTAACTAAAATAAATTGATAATTATTTTCAAAAGAGAAAAGCTGATTTTGAAGTTTTCCAATCTCACTTTCAACAAAACTTGAGATCCTAAAATGACTCCTAAATCAGATATTACCCGAGGGAATAAATAGATACTATAAAATCATGGAGGAAGTTATATATGCTCCATTATTGTGACAAAAGGGAACATAAATGCACCCCAGCCAAGTTCATACAAACCTTACGCATAGCCGGGGGATATTACTCCATCTCTATGCTTGAATGCTATACTACATTTTTTTTCTTTTTTTTCTTTTTTTGCTTGAATCAGTAGGGGTATCGGGTCTCTAAACATTTTATTAAAAAATAAAAATAAATATTACATGAATAATTGTTAAACCGTTGCCATATTGGCCTCCCTATAAACGTGTTAGAATGCTATATTACTTACCCCACAAGCATGCACACACGATTGTGCATGTGCATAAATATAGGGAAAGAGAGAGAGAGGGGGGAGAGAAAACATATATTGAGAGAGAAAGAAAGAGAGATAGAGAGAGTGCATATAACGTCAGCACTTTGTCATCACCCCACGACCCCTCTCCCATCTTCACCATGGAGCCATCGTGATCAAGTTGGACGAAAGACTCCCATCTCGCCCTCTAAGTCTTTTACGGCCATAATAACCACCCTTGATAGAAAGAAACCTTTTCAACTCCCATTTCACTCTCTCTCTAACCCCTATTTCATTTTATTTTATTTTTTTTCTTTCTGAAAAAATACCCTATCTGTCTCTCTCTAAACTCCGGAGTGAATCGGGTGTGTATGGAATCGTCATGATACGATGGATTTGTGCGTGTGTTACCCACCCTAACGACGGGGTCACCTTAGTCAATGTACGATAACAAAGGCTCATCTACACCCAACGTCCAACCCATATGATTATAACTGAACCAAACATTTAACTCTTCGTCTTTACAATGACGTGGAGAAGCACACATACGAAGAGAGGCTGTTTAAAGAGTGGTTGTGTTGTCAATGTTGGCCGACTCATGATTATTACTAGAATTTTGTAGGGGAGGGGATGGATTATGATTAGAGTGGAGACGATAAGAGATTGTTGGGGATATTAGCTTGTAAATAATCTTGCCGCCTAGGGTCAGGTTTTAGAGAGAGAAATTTGTTTCAATAAAAAAAAAAGAGAGAGAAAATAATAAAAGAGGATTTAGAGAGAGATTAGGGATTACCGCTTTAATTTCTCTTTTAATGAGTTCATTTTGGGGGGCCTCTAACGATTTATGGCTTTTCTATTTCAAATTAAAACATTTGTGTAATTTATGTTAACTGTAGTGCTGTACTTAGATCCTTGATTTTTTCGTCCATACTTCTTTAGTCTTTTCTGATCAATTTCTTGGCAATGTTGGGTAAATTATGGAGTATCAAAAGATCAACAGTAATTGCAGACAATACGTGACAAGGATTCGCTGGCTTTGGGTTCACCTAAGTCCACACTTTAATGGCCCGAAAAAGGCACACTATCTTGGTCCATAATTGTAGGCCCACATAATCAAAACGAATGAAGGCCTGAGCCTAGGGAAAAGCTTTGCAAAAAAACAAAATATCATTTTTGAAGGGGAAATATGATAAAACAAGGCAAGCTTAGTGCGGTTTGGATGAGGTTGGCTCACATGTACAATATATATACAACAAGGAAACAGTGGGACCACTTATTAGATTTTCAAGAGAATTACAAGCGTTTTTTTCTTTTTTTTTTCTAAAATATGAAATACTATTTTTATAGGTGACAATTACAAAGAAAGCCAGTTAACCGATCTTTTTTTTTCTTTTTCTTCCAAAATTTCCCCTTTGTCCGAAGACATCATTGGACCGAATTTTAATTCTTCTTTTACTTTTTTCATCAGTAGGGCCCAACCCTACTAACAAAAAACCTAAAAAAAAATTAAAATTTGTATCGAGGATTACATCTTTAGCCCAAAGGGCAATTTTGAAAAAAATAAAAACAGGCATGACCGATCTGTATACTCCACCTATAAATGAAGCATTTCATATTTTAGAAAAAAATTTAAGGTACGTATGTAAATCACTATTTTTTTTTCGATAGTCCAGAAGAAATAAGGTCACAACTTATAGTAAAAATAGAACTCAAGACGTCATATGTTGGTGACCGCCTCAACACCTAGTAATGAGCCCATTTATGACTTCTATGCTTTGAACACCTAGTATTGAGCCCATTTATGAATTCTAAGCTTTGAGACTGTAGGGATATATAAACTAGGGTCAACTACACGTTGATGAGCAAAGACTGACTTGGTTTCCGCTTTACATATAGGAGAAAGCCAACAAGAGTAGATGCTCATCTGAAGTTCTCATATAAAGTTAAATGAGCTGGGCTTATGTGATCATTTTCCTTTTAAGGAAATCGAAAATACGGCTTCAATGTAAAGAGTCCCATACGATGTCATGAAACGTCCTACATTCAGTAAATAGTTATTTTTCAAATTCCATATATTTTTCCATTACCTATCTTGTCGGTATGTGTTTTTCCCAATTTCCACATAAAGTACATTATAGCACCAAGCCACCAAGAGATGCCTTAACGCTTATATCATCGGTTTTCTTTTCGAGTAAGAAAATATCAGACTATATTCGCCCTTATTTTTCAAGTAAGGAACATGGGAACATGTAGAAGTATTTTTTTTTTCCCCCAAATTTACTCCTAAGTCCTACTTTTATTTTTTCCCATGCAGAATTACCACATGGTATATATTTCAAAATTACATACGTACCAGAAAATAAATGCAGAATTACCACATGGTATATATTTTCCCAATTTTACTCCTAAGTCCTACTTTTAGATGATTTTTATTTTTTATTTTTTGAGTTATACCCCTGATTCGACGTTAGCAACATCAAATCACCTTTTTTTTTTATATTATTTATTGTCTGGCCTCTAAGGCTGTAGATCCCCAACAACAAGCAACGTAGAACTGCCCCATACGTGGGCCAAGGCCCATATAAGGTGTAGTTTGTTTTTTTGGGGCATTGTATTGATCTAGCGGTCACATTAATAATAAAATTGAAAAAGCAAGAGGTTCAATGTTGCAAACATCAAGTTGGTGGCAAAAAAGAAATAAAAAAGAAAAAAATAGGATGCAGATAAAATTTGGAAAAAACATGAATCGTGCAACAATTTCTGCATTTGTCTTTCTATTTTGTACCTAATTTTTCTTATTTATTTTTTTAAAAAATTACGTACAACCCAAAAAAAATTTTGGGATTAAAATAGTCCATATTTTTGGACAATTTAAAGTGAGGTGACAAGTTTTATTTATTTATTTATTGTTGTACTCTCATTTCATCACTAACTTCAAACTCCACCATGCAAAAAAGAACCAAAACACGAGGAAAAATAAGCATTTAGGTATTTGATACTGCAACTATTGAAACGCACAAAAATAAAAGAGGCGTGAGGGCGGTTCCAAACTGGTACTTCTAAACAGCCTAAAACATATAAAAAGAACTTTGTGTTCGGGTGGTTCCAAAGTTACTTTGAAACCATCAAATATTTATTTTGTATTTTATTATCAATTTTATTATTATTCAAATAGTTCTGAAAGTTGAATTTTCGTACTGTTTAAATATCTAATTTATTTTTAAATGGTTTGAAGGTCTTGTTCTAAAACTACCAAATAATCTAATTCTTTTGCGTGTTGCCTTTTTGGAAAGTCGCACTACTTTTGGACTTCACAAAAAATCAATTTTTGTATCATACCATATTTAAAAATTAGAGTTTCAAAGGGATAAATTGAAATAAAAGAGCTCCAAACTTTTGCACTTTCACCATAAAATAGGGTTGTATATGGGTAGGGTCAGGTCGGGTCAATCACAACATGGACCTGAGCTCATCGGGTCCTACTTCGGCTTGCAGCCAAACCCCTCTCTCTCTCTCTCTCTATATATATATATATATATATATTGTATTGTATCCACAACATGTGGATGCTTGAAGGATGCCCAAGCAACTTATAATAGTTCACATTAAACCTAGATTCATCCAAGGGCTACAAATAGTTTTTTTTTTAATTTAATTTTTATTAAAAAATAACATTTATCTAAAATTTGAGATTGAAATTAATTTTTATAATGATTTGACCCCGATGTGTATCCAACCCAACCTGATGATGCTTTGAGATGGACCTGAACCCGACCCTTCAAGTCCGATATGTACGACTTGACCCATCTGATGGGCCCAATCCGTAAAATGTCTACAAGTATGCACTAATGTAAACTTTTCCCTGTTTGGACATAAATTTTCTTCTTGTTTTCCAAATGATCGGCACATGTCCGTGAAACTAAACCTCTCAATGGGCCAGGCTTTGGAACCCAACGGGCTTGGATGGAGCCCCACTTCCGACCTCATTATCTTCCAAGGGCTCCATGTTGTTGCGGTGGTTACGCAAGAGACGGAGGGCATAGTGGATAGAGAGAGAAAGAGAACTACGAGAGAGATACTTTGAGGGTGGCGGTAGTTTCAGTGGTGCTTTTCCTGGAGATTTTAAGGTCGAATGTCAAAGTTACGATAGTGGCTTGCCCCCCGCACGTTATTTCTCTCTCTCTAAAACTCCCCTCACATTGGGACCACGCAGCGCGGTGGGTGGCTCCGTTGCCTCTAACAAAGCACCCGGGCAACTGATCCCACGTTTCACAATCATTCTCTCTCTCCATGTACGTAGAGTAGAACCCCACCTTTCTGTTTCTTGCCCCTTTATATATTCCCTCCTTACAGCCACCATTTGGAGTACGCCAATCTTTCGTTGCTTCCAATTCTCTCGAGCTTTTTTAAACCACTTGTTGGGCCCTGAGCTCTGCATCACCTCCGATTATTGCGGCAACGGCCGCCGATTCGCTACTAGAAAGTTGGCTGCTGAGCCTCATGATCTTCTCTCAGGCAAAAGGTGCAAACAAATTTCTTTCTCACTTCACTGTCCTCTCTCCTTTAATTCTCTCTCTCTTTTTCTGCTACTGTACTCCCTTTACGTCTCTAAAATTCCTCAAACTCTCTCTACTTTGTCGCAGATTCCTTCAACGAATCGACGGCACCTCAAGAGGAAAGGGGGAGCTCTTACAGTACAGGTAAAGTACAAGGGTCTGAATAGCTCTCTCTATTTCCCTCCCTCCCTCCCTCTCTCTCTCCATTGAAGATTGGATTCAGAATTTCAGGAGCAAAGCAATGATGGAGATGGTTCTCATAGGACTTCGTTAGTTGCAGATATGAGTCTCTCGGTGAACGGACAGTATCGAGTTCCCCCTGGGTTCAGGTTCCACCCCACTGAAGAGGAGCTCCTGCATTACTACCTCAGAAAGAAGGTGGCGTATGAGAAGATCGATCTCGACGTCATCAGAGACGTGGATCTCAACAAGCTTGAGCCATGGGACATTCAAGGTACCCCAACTCCTCCATTGACCTTTTAAATTTTGGAGCAACATCTCTCTTCAGTTTTGTTTGAAATTTTAGTGGAAGCTTTGCAGAAAAATGTAGGATAGGTACCACGCCACAAAACGACTGGTACTTCTTTAGTCACAAGGATAAGAAGTATCCGACTGGTACGCGCACTAACAGGGCAACGGCTGCTGGGTTTTGGAAGGCCACCGGCCGCGATAAAGTGATTTATGCTAGTTTCAAGCGCATAGGGATGAGAAAAACACTGGTTTTCTACAAAGGTAGAGCCCCACATGGCCAGAAATCAGACTGGATCATGCACGAGTATAGACTCGATGAGCAGCCCGACTCAAACAATTCTCAAAACAGTAATGTTAGTGGCTCTCTCAAGAACTCTTTATATGGTTTTTCAGAAGTAGGTCCATCTCTCAGTACTCTCTCTCATATTTGATGCTTGTTTTAGGCCTCCGGGGAAAGCTCTCAAGAAGAAGGTTGGGTGGTATGCCGAGTCTTTAAGAAAAAGAACCTCCACAAAACCCACGACCCACCTTCCCTGAACAACTCGGGCGACTTTTCGAACTTGAATCCGAGCAACGACCCTGCTCTCGACCAAATTCTTCAATACATGGGCCGAAGCCGAACTTGCAAGCAAGAAAACACCGATGCCACCACTTCCTCTCAATATAACAACACCTGCTTCTCCTTAATCCCCCAAAAGTTGATGAACTTTGAAACCCCGCCCCTCCCTCCTCTCTCAAACGATTTTAGACCACCCAACATCAAGCGAAACTCTTCTTCTTGTTATGCGCCCATTGAAGACCAACAGGACTCCGACGAGCCCACCTCTGGCTCGTGCTACTCCAGCCAACTTAGCGACTGGGCAACCCTTGATAGGCTCGTGGCCTCGCACCTTAACGGCCAAGAAGACGAGTCTAAGCAACTGGTGAGCTTTGGCGACCCTGGCATGGGGATTCCATGTCCAACAGGCTTTCCATTTTGCCCCTCTTCTGACCACGACCTCTCATCCTTAACCCCCCTTAGGCCCGACACCAACAATGGTGATGGAACCCAACATAACCATATCCAGAGCAATCACGGCCGTTTATTCAATGGTGGCCAAGACTTCAACAGTGATGTGGATCTATGGAGCTTTGCTAGACCATCGGACTCGAGCCACAGCCGCGGCCACGCGTCGCTTCCAGGGTTCGCATCAACTATTGCCGAAGTCACTCAAAAATTGTAAAATAAAATAAAAAGACTAGCTCTACTATATACTGTATACTCTTGTTTTTTAAATAATGATATAAATATATGTAACGGAAGTTAGCTGCGATGCCATTATCAGTCATCATCCGTTCCCATAACGATGTCCACCATTCCACCAATATAAATATTCTCAGCCATCTTTTCTATATTGGTTTTATAATTATTGTTTTTTAAGGCCTAGTTTGTCCACCTTCTTGTTTAATGATCACACCCAATCTAACAAATGATGTGACCTAATTGTTGTTTAGAGAGATTAGTCTCCAAATAAAATCATTTTAGGGGTCATTCGATTTGATGGGTTGGGTGTGATCTCTCCAACAGTTGGTGGCAAAGACTATTAAACCCATAACATCCAATCCGCTCGTTTCATAAATAGTTGGTGATGATATCACGATCCGATTTTATGACGAGCGACATTATAAGTTACCTAAAACGTTTCGGAGAATAATTTGGCTGGAATCCGGCACACAGAAGGTTACATTTACGTGACGCCAATGCTCGTCATTCCAATTCTCTCTCTACTTTTGGATTTTGTGTGTTTTTGAAATGACATTACTTTGTTTCTTCTTTGTATGTTATTGCACACTAAATTGGATTCTATATGTCCTCGAAATGACATTGTTTGTTTATTCGTATGTTATTCTACGCTGCATTAAACGCTATAATAAACGTATGAAGCCGGGAATTGGAATTTGTAATTGAGCAGTCGGCTGAGAATCTCAGAAAACAGCCAGGGGTGTGGTCACGAGGCGCAGATTGATACTATTATTTATTTATTTATTTATATATACGGTGTTTTCGTAGGAAAGCTGGGTCTTGACTGAAATGGAGGAAACCACGTGGAAAGACAAACGATTCCGTTGACAAATGCGTCACGTACGTCGCTGTGTCCATTATGCGGAGATACGTAGTAGGGACATAGCTAGCATGTGTGATTCACGAGCCAATATTTTTTTTTTTTTTTGAAAATATCTACATATCCTTTGGGTTTTATTTCAAATTAGACTTACGATTTTAAAAGATATTTTGGAACATAAAAATTATAGATTTTTATTTTTTTGAACCCCTAAGCTAATTTAAACATATTTTTATAGGCCAAACAAATAAAAAAAGACATGTCATATCCTTCACATTTTCTCTCTCCCCATCGCCAAACCCACATTTTCTATCTCTCCATCTGCTAAACCCCTCTTCGTATTCCCCACGTTTTCTCTCTCCTCATCTACTAAACCCCCCATTGACGAAATCCCTCTTCGTATTTCCCCCATTTTCTCTCCCCACCAATGTTTTTTCTCTCCCCATTTGTCAAACCCCTCTCCGTATTTTCCCCATTTTCTCTCCACATATCTCTTACTCTCTCACTTCTCGTGCTCCCCAAACTTTTTCTCTCTCCCCGTAATGTCCCACAACTCTTTGACTTTCCGCGTGATAGATAAATTGCAGAACCCAACCAATGATCAATTTGATAGATAATTTGCAGAACCCATTTTGACTGCAAACCCATCTGAAAGTTTCAATTTGATTGCCAACCCATCTGAATTATAGAGGATGTGTTTTGAGAACCTTTGAAATCTCTGAGAATGTCTTTTGAGAACCATATCTATACTGGTTCTTGAAAATATTTAATGACGTCCATTGAATCTTTGTGCTCCATCTCTGTTCTCCATATTATTTAAATGTTTATGTTGCAGAAAAAGAGTTAGGTGTGAAGAGAGACTGGGAGATAGGAGGAGAGAAAAAGAATGAGAAATATGGAAAGAGAGAGATGACAAGGAGATAAAAAATAAGGGGGGAGAGAGAGGGTGGTTTGGAAGATGGGGAGAGAGAGATATGGGAAGAGGGAACGAGAAGAGAGAGTGAGAGAAAGGGGGGAGAGAAATAAGGAAAGAGAGATGACTGGTAGAGAAAAAAGAGAGGAATACAGAGAGAGAGAGGGGAGTTTAGGAGATGGGGAGAGAGACAATGGGAAGGGAGAGAAGGGTTTAGAAAATAAGTACCTTTTTTAAGTTCGACGGGAGGAGAGAGAGTAAGAGACGGAAGAGAGAAAAAGAGAGAAGTTTGGGGTATATAAGTTAAGAGAGAGAAGATTGGATTTAAAAAGAGTATGTCTTTCTCATATTTGTTTAGGTTAAAAAATAGGTTTAAAGTGGCGAGGGGGTTAGAAGATATCTTTTGAAACTTTGGGTTTATCAAGAAATGAAACCTAAAAATAGGGGATATGGAGATATTTCCCCCTTTGTTTTTTTGACAAATGTTACTACTTTTTATTAATAATTATAAAAAGAATGTTACATTATTAGAAACAACAAGCGATGGAAGAGATGCTCCACCCTTTGCCAACAAATCAGTCACACTATTAGCTACGCGATAAACATGAGAGAAAGAGACTGGAACAATAGCTGCAATATCTATCATGGGACGTAGCTCCCATGGGACACTCTGAACTTTATTACACCATTTAATCACATTCAAGAAGTCCCATTCAATCATACAACTATTGCCAAGATCTCTACTGATGAAAAGCTTCAACGCACTAAGCAAGACACTCAATCTCGTGTAGTTATCAGTTGCAATACCTATCGAACCTGCATAGGTGAATAAAATATTACAAAAGAAATTGTGCATCACACCTTCAATCCTAGCTATTGTACGTCATTTTTGACGTATTTCCAAGAGCCTGTGCGAATAGGTCTCACGGGTTCATGAAACACCTACAGGCCAAGATTGTGTCGAGAAATAAAGCCTCTAGCCTAGTGACCTGGGTGCGGTGCCCTTGCACCAAAGAAGGACCATCCAATGTTGCCCTATGAGAGAGGCTGCAGCAGGGCACTAGACCATCACCATTGTGCTCAGAACGTTAAAAACGCGTCAAGGACCAAATTTTGGCTCAGTAGGACCCCTTTAAAAGGGTTTGTACTCATGCGACCTCACAACTCATGGATTTTACCTTAGCGTGATGCGGCTTCACCAAACCAGTCCCAGAAAAGGGGCTGTGTCAAGGTTTTTCGACAGCAACTTCTCCAACCTACGGTGCCTTTTTTCGAAATCAGACCGAGCTCAAATGTTGACATGTTCTAAATAACACCAGACTCGTCATTTTGACCTAAGGTATCCACTGTGGCATGATCGGGAACCCCTATTGCTCTGAAGAAAAAAGAAGCTTCAGAAACCAAGACCAAAAAAGAGGTTCTGCAATCTACAGATTCGGAGAAGCATAAATCAAAATCCAGGCCATGGATTGGCATGAGGAAGAGTTCAAAAGAACCACCTCGCACAGAGCTACATTCTGGTATGACTTTTGCATTCAATCCCTTGTTCGATGAATATAAGTCAAATCCAACCGGTTGCCGGAATCCCTTTCTCTGTAACCTTCCAAAATAACCGAAGTCGCAAATCCACACAAAATCGATCTCGTCATTTGGGCAAAAGATCGCAAGAGCATCTTAGTCATTTGCATCTAATATTTGGATTTTTTTTTATTTATTTTAATTGTAATTAAGCTTGACTTTTGAGCGTTCACCCCTGTTTGGTGAAGCCTCTATATAAGCAGGCTTAGCTCATTTGTAAAAGGGGTTCATAAAATCGCTCCAAAAGGTTCCCCTTTTGAAAGCCCCAATACCCCAAAGGTCAGGAAGAATCGAGGCTAGTTCATTCATGTTCTATGTTATTCTGTGAGCCCCTAGCCCATTTGAGAGATAAGAGAGGAAGAAAGAGAAAACTTTGAGAGGGAGGGCACCCTCGAGTGTGTGATCCCGCTGACACACCTGTCGTGCGAGTCATCCCATTTCACCGAGCCGAGTTGCTTCTCTCTCTCTCTCTCTCTTCCTCCCACTTCTGTGTGCGAGACCCTATCTGCGGTATGTCCCACGTTTGCTTGCGAACCCGCAGACGTGTCCTAACCTGCAGGATTCTTTCCCCGACTTCTACCCATGCCCCCTTTTAGTGGTCAGCAAACCCTTCCGAGAAGGGCATCCAGGGAGGAGGGACATCAGGATCCCGTCCCTATGGCACGAAAAGAGAGAGAGAGAGAGAGAGAGAGAGAGAGAGAGAGAGAGAGAGAGAGAGAGAGAGAGAGAGAGAGAGAGAGAGAGAGAGAGAGAGAGAGAGAGAGAGAGAGAGAGAGAGAGAGAGAGAGAGAGAGAGACGAGTAGTAGAGAGAGAGTAGAGAG